TACAACTCGATAAAATTTTCTTCCTCAAGATTCAAAAAGCAAAAAAAAAAAAAAAAAAAATTAACAACCATTCCGCATCCTTTTAATTTAGATACAGTCTTACATTGCGTTTACTTATTATAATCATTTTGGGGGGTTCCACTAGACTAATACTGAATGATGTAATCACTGTTTCAGAGATAATTGTTAAAAACTTCATCGTTTTTTGAGAAGTTATTTTTGAATTGTTCATAAGTATTGTATAAGAAAAGTTAGTCTTCTATAGAATAGTAATTTGTATTTTTCTTTATCAAAAAATCTAGTCACAAAAAGTGTGCGACTATTATGTTTCAATTGAAGATATGAAATAGATAATAATACGTATATAATATAAGAAAGTTGCAATGGAAGGATTTCGTTCTCAAAATGAACGGTTTCTGACTAGAAAAGAATACGCAATAACAAAGACTAGCATCAGAAATATTTAGCTCCAGCTATTGCAAAAATGTAACCATTCCATCGATTCGGTAATAATATGCGATTACATACATCTTTTCTTAGTTCTTTTGTTTTCTTTAAAAATAAGTTCTCGCCTCCTCTTTTCTTTTCTTTTCTTTTTTTTTCTTTAAGATAATATAGCTGTAGAGTAAACTCGTGCGTACATTTATATTATATATTGTATATATATTTATGATAATATAGTTCGCTATAGTGATAGAGGCAACGTACACTGAATTCCATCAGTTCAATATTCACTTAAAATTATTTCATTTTCACTCGATTTTTTTTTCCTTTTTTTGCATGAACTTTATTCTGATGGGAATTTGAAGAAGTATTTGAAAAAACAGTTGAAAATAATTTCGAACAATTGCGAAATAATTCCAAACAATCGAAAATAATTTAAAAATATGGAAAATAATTTCAAAATGTTGAAAATAATTTTAAAATATTGAATGTAATTTAAAATACATTGAAAATAATTCCAAACAATTCTAAACAATCCAAAACAATTTCAAACGATTGAAAATATTTAAAATAATTTCAAACAATAATTGAAAAAAATTTCAAAATGTTAAAAATAATTTTAAAATATTAAAAATAATTTTAAAATATTGAAAATAATTCAAAATAGTTTCAAAATATGAAAAATAATTCCAAACAATCAAAAATAGTTTCAAAATATGGAAAATAATTCCAAACAATTAAAATGAATTTCAAATAATTGCAATTATTTTCAAAATATTGAAATTAATTCGAAACAATTGAAAATAATTTAAAAATATTGAAAATAATCTAAAAATGTTCAAAATAATTTCATACAATAATTGAAACTAATTTTAAAATATTGAAAATTGTTTAAAGTATTCGAAAATAATCGAAAACAGTTTCAAAATATGGAAAAAAATTTCAAATAATTGAAATTAATTTCAAAATATTGAAAATAATCTGGAAATATTGAAAATAATCTGGAAATATTGAAAATATTTTTAAACAATAAATGATAATAATTTAAAAATATTGAAAATAATTCCAAACAATCGAAAATAATCGAAAATAGTTTTAAAATATGGAATGAATTTGAAATAATTGAAATTAATTTCAAAATATTGAAAATAATTCCAAACAATCGAAAATAGTTTCAAAATATGATAAATAATTCCAAACAATCGAAAATAGTTTCAAAATATGGAAAATAATTCCAAACAATAATTGTAATCAATTTCAAATAATTGAAATTATTTTCAAAATATTAAAAGTTATTTTGAAACAATTGAAAACAATTTTAAAATATTGAAAATAATCTTAAAAAAATTGGAAATAATTTCAAACAATAATTGAAAATAATTTTAAAATATTGAAAATAATTCCAAATAATCGAAAATAGTTTCAAAATATAGAAAATAATTTGAAACAATTGAAAACATCATTTTTTTTCTTTTGGCAAAATGAACCGAAGTTTTAATGAAACGAAAATAAAACAAAAAATTATTCCTCAATAATTTGAAAATAATAACTTGATATGTGAATCAATATTTCAGAATAAATTTTGTTTTAGAAAAATTTTTCTACTTCCAAACATGATAATTTTTTATACTCTACTCTCAAAAATACATCAGATTTTAAATAATTTCCGATAATAAAATAAAAATAAATTATTCTTTGAAATTTTTTCAACAATAATCAGTAATAAATAAAAAAATACATATTTTCAACTATTTCACCTAAACTTCAATTTTCCCCGTTCACGCATTCTGAAGCTTTCTTCTCAATAATAATATGCAAATATTCGAATTGCGTTACACATAATTATTTAAATCATAGTGTTTAGACATTTATTCTCTGTGTGTGTTTTTTTGTACGAAAATAAAATAGCAGACAACAGGCACCATTTCTCTAAACTACATTTATATATTATAAAAAACGAACGTCCCGTTTCTTTCACAATGTACAGAATAACGAAACAAAAGAAATTCTACCAAATAATAAAGATTAAAGAAAAAGAGACACCCTCGACGGAGAAAAATTTTTCTTTCATAAAAGAAATTGTCATTATTAATGAAATATTTCTAGCACCATATTCTACATACCAATTATTACCATTCTAAATCACAGACCTAACATGTTTTTTTTTGTTTTCGCAAATCGCAAACGCGTCTTGGTCAAATCCTATAAAGAGGTATGATTCTACCATTGAAGGCATTTCGAATTCCTGCAGAGTCTTTTTACAGTGACTCGTAAAATAAATTTTGTTTGACTCTTTCCATTGAGTCGCAAAAGAAAAACTAAAATTAACAATTCCTTAATATTCTCGACCAGCGAATATAGTAAAATACAATTTTCTTTTTTTTGTCAACTCCATTTCGTGTTGTGAATGTTTAACTCAAATAATGACTTTTGAAAGAAATTGCGAGTAAAATTGCAAATTTAACTAATTTGAAGAAAACAATACTAGAGTAACCCCTTGTATTGAGCAAGTGATTTAATCTGATTTTTTTCCCTTTTATTTCGAGAGAGTGCTCTTGTCTGGTAGTTTCTCTTTTTCCCCGATTTTTCTCATTCATACCCTACATTTATCTTTTTTCCATCTTCTATTAAAATTATCCATTTTTTCATAGAACAAGTTTTTGGAAATCAAACATTATTCTTAACTAATAACCGAAAATTTTGTAACTAATTTCAATTTTCTTTTTCTCTGTATTTTCGTTTTTTTTTGCATATTTTTCGTATTTAGAATTTTCATTTTTTTTTGTACTTTTCGTATTTTTGTCGCTTTTTTTCTCGCTTTTCGTATTTTTTTCGTACTTTTCATGTGACAAAAACTTGAATTCTACAAAAAAATGTTTATCCTATCGTTATAATAATAAATGCCCAACAGCTACGGAAATAGCAACGTAACAAGCTGCCGATAATGACCCTGATATTTAAAAATTCCACTGAACAATTTTTGACTAAAGCACCTTATAAAATAAATGTGACGGAACATACACACGAAAATTCATTAAAATAAGTGATAATTAAAACTAAATTATAAAATAAAGAAAAAAATTTAAATATAGGTAACTTCTTTATAAATACTCGGTTTTTAAATGCTTTTAAGCATATCGTAGTAACTATACTGAGAAAACATATTTTATATGTCGTTTTAAAAACATAGCATATAATTTAATAAGGCTCCATTTAATTTTTTATCTCTTTCTTATTTTCACTATTTAGTTAAAAGGTTTTTAATTTTTTTTTCCATAACATAAAACTCTTTTTTCAATAAAAACGAAAACATAAAATAATCCATGAATAACAAAACAAAAGTGAATAAATTATTTAATTTACAATTAATGTTTATTCATTCTTTTTAAAACTAAGGAAGAAATCATTTCCTTTTTCAATATTTCTCCAAAATATTTCTTCAATATTAATTCAATACGTTTCAATAATTATTCGGATTTCAAGTATTATTCTCTTTTTTTCGAAAAAAACGAAAAAGAAATATAATTTACGAATAATAAAACAAAAATGAATAAACTATTTAATTTACAATCAATTGTCATTCATTTTCTTTTAAAATTAAAAAGTAAATCATTTCTCTTTTTAAAATTTTTCCAATATTTCTCCAAAATTTTTCCAATGTTTCCCCAAAATTTTTTCAATCTTTATTCAATATTTTTTCAATAATTACTCGGATTTCAAGTATTATTCTTTTTTTTTCGAAAAAAATATATAATCCACAAATAACAAAACAAAAATGAATAAATTATTTAATTTACAATTAACTTTTACTCATTTCACTTTAAAACTAACAAAGAAATAATTTCCTTTTATCAATAATTATTCAGAATGATTAATGAAAAAAATAAAAACACGAATAAAAAAAGACAAATAGAGACATAATCTCTACTCATAAGTTGAAAAATTAAATGGAGCCGTTTGTGTTTAAAATAAAATTAAAAAGAAAACGAAATAAATAGTGTTTTGAGAAACATTCGATGTTCTCATAAGTACATACATTCTTGAAGCGTTTTGATAAAAAATCTTAATACAAAAACATCTCCGTCTGCGGAGAAAATGCTCGAGCTTTAAAATCAGTCATGAACAGTAGTGTGTTGAAAATAAATTCAGTCAAAGAATCTTTGCACATTTACTTCTACCGTTTTTTGTTTCTAATATCGAATATCAAATATTATGTATGAAATATCTAATAAATAATTTCTTTTATAAATATTCAATAAAAAAAAATTCGTTTAACAATTTTATTTTTATTTATTTTTATTTAAAGTATTAACGGGAGAATTTTTCAGAAATTTCCTTTAAATATTTTAAATCCAAGAAGAAAAACACTGAAATTCCTTCAAATTAACACTGGCGGAATTCACAACGTTTATGATTGACAAATAAGGAGAAAAAATATTTTTGTACTAAATTTTTATAATTTTTCCCTTGAGAAGTATTTTTTCTACAAATCTTTCTTCTCAATTATTTTTAAATAATAAATAGGAAAATTTAGAGAAAAATTTTATTATTTCCCGTGTGAAAAATATTTTTTTGAATTAAACGTCAATATTATAAAATATAAACCTTGTGAACTTAGATTCAAATTATTTCTTTAACTTTTTGAAAAATAAAAAAGTAAAACTACCAACGAAAACAGTGCCAAAGATTTCCGATTCGCCTTTATTTTCACCGCACTCTGAAAAAATGTAGTTTCCTAAAGTATCAAAAATGCACTAGTGCTTGCTAAGTGAATCGAATTACTAATTTTGCAATCTAATAATGCACTTTTATAAAAAAAAAAAAAAAATAGAAATGAAACACAGCCGGCAGTTTCGTTCTAGCGCATGATACCTATAGAAAATAGAAAGCCGCTACATTCGTTTGTTCGTTTTTGATTTTACTTCTCGTTTCTTTCAATTTGTGATTTTTAGCTCTATCAATATTTCTGCAAGCCCTTATTTTTTTTCCTTCTCTTTTTTTTGAGAGAGATTTTTTTTTCTTTCTTTTAGTTAGGAAGAGGAAAAATATAGAGAAGAGCCAAGACAGATAAGAACGTAGCAAAAAGCGTCGCGGATAAGACACGGTCCTGAATCATAGGGGATGAACCTGTGGCTGGTTTCTTGATGCCTTCTTCTTCATGAAGAAGAAGAAGAGCTGAAACTAGTCGGCCCAGAGCCTCCAGACCGTACGCGTCCATGTAACCGACGTCCATGATTGCATCCGCGTCCATTAACATCTCCTGCAACCAACAACGTTACTACTCAGTCCCAATTCTACACGTTTATTTGTTTATCATTTTTATCATAGATATTAGAATTTTTATTTTTTTGGGGTCGGCCCTTTTTTGCCAATTTTAATTTCAATTTCAATTTCAATTTGTAAATTCATCAAATTTTTTGTAAAAAAATTGCACTGTATACAAGTGGTTCGTATTTTATTTTCAAGTACAATTTATAATTGAGTTTAAAACCAATATATTTTTAGAAGTTGAAAAGAAAAATCATAGTAAATATTCAATTGCTCTGTATTTTTTTTAATCCTTTCTTGAAAATTGCACTATTTTGTAGAATCAGAAAAAAAGCAAAGTACGAAATTCACTGATTCACTAAAAATAAAGTAACTAAAAATTAAATTCGACACAATTCTAGTATTTAAAATTTACTTAAATTTTATCCATAAAAATATGTGAAAAATCGAAAAGTGTCCTTTTATCACATATTTTTATGGACAAAATTTAATTTTCATTCAATCTTTTTTTTTCTCAATTTTATATTTACTTAACAGACTGTCAAAGTTGATGTGATTTTTTCATTGCAGTTTCTGTGTAAAAAATAGTACCAACTTTGACACCCTTTCAATAGCAACGTTTACCGAATTATTTTTCCGTTTTATAAATTTATTTTCCTTCATTTAAATTTGTTTAAATATAATAAGTAAAATTTAAAAAAAAGTCTAATAAGCAATATTGGTTTTAAACTGTCATTTAAATTGTATATTTACAAAATGTCTAGCACTAACGTAAGGAGGTTTTTTAAAAAAAAATTCAGTAAGACTTAGAATATCCCAAAAGAAAGCAATGAAACACAAAAGCAATTTCTTCTAGGCGCATGCAAACTAAAGCTCACTGACCATATTTACGTGATCGACCCTTTAACCACAACTAATTATTTTTTTTCCTACAAAAAAACATATATTTTAATGAATATTGTCTCTGACTCTTTTTTTTAATACAGAAAATTAGATACAATTTCTTAATTCAATGAACGGTGAATAGGGACTGACTAGTAGTTGTTGGCAAGCTTGCCGATGTGAATGGGATTAGAAAACAGTACATATACATAAAAATATAACTGTCCGGTGAATATAAATTGTTTACAATTACAATACTAAATAAACAATTTAAATTGTTTATTCCAATAACGAAAAAAAAGTTTCAATCACTTCCCTTATGTAGCTATCGAGAATATTGATTTTTAACAAAAATGTTTTATTATCGAGAAAATTTATTATTTCTCGTAAAATACTTCTCGTAAAATACTTAGAGGACTTACCTCAGATTATAAAATTTAATTTCTACAAGTGCTCTTTATTTAAGTGTTATTTAATGAAAAATGTGTCATTTAATCAAAACGGAAATTAGGAAATAATTTAAAATTGGGAATTTGAAACTTAGGTGTTTAAAACTTAGGAAATAAGATAATTAAAATTAGATGAATACTTGGCAAATGAATATTTGGCAAATTTCATGTGAATTTTTTTTTGCGAATTTCTCATGAGATGATAAGATTGAAAATTGAGAAACTGAGAGCAATTGAAGTATAATTTCTATCTTAACAATCAAAATTGTTAGACTTTTCAAATTGCCGCAGAGATTTATTTTCAACTTAATTTTTATATAATTTTATTCAAATGAATAAAGAAATTCTTTTTAATATTTAACTCTCGTATTCTTATTTTCAATCATAGTCAGATTACCACACTCTTGAATGTACCAATAAATGAATTACCTTTTTACAATTGTTTAATAAATTCCAATGAATTAATCTTTTCAAAAAGCAGAAAATTTATTTTTCATCAAATTTACTTTTTTTTAGAAATTTCTTTCTTTATAAAAGAAATAATCTTTTAGTACTAAATATTAAATACTCTTTTCAGGCCTCGGATCAAAGAAAATATTTTTAGACGATTCAAAAGTACGAAAAAAGTCGTTTACTTTCTTGAATATTCAATTAAAGAATCCATGTTCTTTATTAAATTATTTTACTCTTTAGAAATCTAAACATTTAAATTTTAATAAACGTTTAAACGAAATGAATAATTGTTTATTAAATTTATTTATAATCCAGTAAAAATTGATTTATAATTTTTATTCTCTGTTTATTCATTGAATCACTGTTTATTGTTTGCAACATATAATAAAACTAAACTTTCAAACGAACTGAATAAATGTTTATCAAATTAAAATTAAATTTCTACTAAATTATACATCACTGTTTTTTCATTGAAACATTTAATAAAATTAAACGTTTAAACGAAGTGAATAAATGTTTATTGTCTGTTGGTACCATTAAGTAAGTCCATTCAAGAGCGAAATCTTCTGACATTGCTGGTTCATGCATGGTAATTGCACTTGAGCAAAAGGAAAAGAGCCACGACGAGAGAGGAACAAAATTTTTTTTTATCAACTTACCTCATCAACTCCAATCTTTCTGCATGCCTCTAGGAAATTGTCCACATTCCTCCTACATCTCGCCATGGTGAGCTTAGGCTAAAAATAGATGAACGGAGGGTTTAATTATTTTCGTCTCTCTCTCTCTCTAAGGAAGGGAGTCTATTAAATGGAAAACGGAAGTACTTACAACTGCCGGAGAAGGAACGTGAATACTAGCAACCGATCGAGGACGAACATGATTTGCCAAATGGCAAAGAACAACACCATCAGTCAGAGCGGAGGCGAGATCCTCCGGTAATGCCATTTTTAATCTCGTTTCAATATGCTGAAATTTGACGAAATTATTATTTTTATTCTTAAAATTAATACTATTTCAGGGTTGCAACAAAAAATTCATTTCGTTTCTCTCTGGCTCTTTGAATTTTGACTTTTTCCCTGACCCTAAAAAAAATATTCATTCTAAAAATCATATAATCACTCTAAAAATTATTTGATATACAAAAAACTGTCCCTAAAGTTAGTGTCGAAAACTATTTAGAGTTTTTAGAAACAAAATCACTAATTTCACTTTCCTTAATCATCTAGGGAATTAAAAAAATGTTGAGGGCAATTTTTCTTAATTGTCCTCAATTAATTCTAAAAAACTTTAATTTAATTCTAAAATCCTTGACAATTATTTGATTCTTTGCGATTTCGGAAAAACTTATTTTTTAGTTCAGTCTTGGCGCTAAATTCAGGGATTTCAAAAAATTATTTCAAATACATTTCCTTGTGAATATCTTTAATTGTAAAATTATTCGAAACATAAAGAATTTTTTGCCATAAATATTTAATCATTACCATTATTTTTCCACACGAAAAATGATTTTCAAAAATTTCAAATTTCAAACCTCTTGAAATTTATTAATTTATAAGATTTGATACTGTAAGTTATTAAAAATTATTTTCAAGATTTCAATTAAATTATTTTCCAGAATTTTTAACTATAATTATTTTTAATAATTTCTGAAAAATTTCTTTGAGAATTCAATTATTGAAAAAAAAAGAAAGTTCACTTAATTTTTTAGAGCTGATACAAAAATTTGATTTTGTTTTTCCTCGATTTTTCCCTGATTATCAGATAGAATCTTGACTATTAATTAAAAATTTATAAATTATTTTCAAAAATTTAAAATTTAAAACTTTCTGAAATTCAATTATTAATAGAAATTGCGAAAGCAACTCTTCCAAAATTCAATTATTGTTTGAATTTTTAATAAAATGAGTCACTTTTTAATTTATAAATAATTTTATGAAAGTTTTTTAAGTAGATATAAAATTAGTAAAAATAATTTCAATTTTATATGAAAAGTTCAATTATCAGAAATAGAAAAAATCGCTAAAGATTTAAAAAAGTGTAAATGAACCACGTTTTTTAATATTTTGTTTAAAATTTGAATTTTGCTAGAAAATATTTATTTGCTAATTTAGAAAATTAATGTCTTTCTATAAATATTAAATTTATTTTATTTTCAATTTTATTCTAGTGATTTTAGAAAATATTTTTAAATAGAAAAAATATATTAGTTCATTTGAACGTTCAAAAATTTAGAAAAATAAATTTTATGGTTTCTGTATTAAAATTTCTGGTCATTTCAAAGTTTATAAAGTGAACAAAAAATTCCAAAAGAATAAACTTTTTTTCAATATTTTCAAATGTCGCTGGACACAAAAAAAAGAACTTTTCTATCAATTCTGCAAATTTAATACTTTTTCCAGTACTTTTGATAAAATTCCCTGAACTTAATTAAAAATCAAAAATCAGTCTCGAAACTTACATTTCTAAGTTGATCTATTAAATCAGCTTCCTCCTTGGCACGCTCGAATTCCCTTCGCATTGTAAAAGAATATTTTTCAGGTATATCACTATTCCAGGTGACTGATCTCGCCGACTTTGGACTTCCACCGTTTGAATTTGGTGTGTTGTTACCTGTTGAAAAAATAAAAAAAATAACTCACTTATTTATATTCCTTACTCAAGGTGGAAAAATCAGAAAAAAAATAATGTTCGTTAAAAATCGTTACCGTCAACGTATCCAACAGCATTCTTTGTATGTCTTGGCACATGTCCTGGACTACTATAACTATTTGAAAGTATACTGGAGGAAGTCTTAATCGGCGAACTTGGTTTTTTGTACGGTTGCTCCGACATTTTTCCATTTTTATTATATTCGTTGTTGCTGCCATTAATAATTGGTGTACTTTGATAATTTATTCGCGATGGTGTAACTTTTTGCACTGGCCGTTTGTTGGCATTTTCTTCGTTGAATATTTGTTTACCAGTCAAAGTTGTTTCACCAGTTGAGTCGGTTTCGTTGTTTGTGTCATTACCCGGCGGAGTAATTTGCTCTCTAGGCCTGTAGACGCTAGGTCCTTCGTTGGCTCTTTGTTGCCTTAAAGCCTCTTTGTATTCTCTACAGAAAAAAAACCGATTTTGTTGAAAAAAACAAATTTAAACAAAACGAATTGAATTAAATTAATAAATTAGGTTTTTTTCAAATTTACATACTTTCAGAATTACCCTTCTTTCGTTTTTGTACTTTTCTTATTTATATTTCTACAGGCCTTGAATCGATTTTAAGGCGCATTAAAAGTTGTTTGAGTCGATTTTATTCAATTATTCAGAAAATAAATAATTTTTGTTCCTTGCGAAAATTCAATTATTTTTATAAATAAAATTCTCCGCAGAAATTTAATTATTTTGAATTCAATTTTTATAAAATTTCTTCAAAAAATTCAATTATTTTTGAAAATTTTCATGAAATTCCTTGCAAAAATCCAATTATTTTTATAAATCAAATTCTCTGCAGAAATTTAATTATTTTGAATACAATTTTAATCAAATTTCTCCAAAGAATTTAATTATTTTCGAAAATTCCAAAAAAATTCTTTCTAAGAATTCAATTATTTTCTATACAATTTTAATACTGAATTTCTAGAAAAAATTTAATTTATTTAAACAATTTAAAAAAAATTTGTCGAAAGAATTCAATTATTTTCAATAAGTATTTAATTAAATTCGCAATAATTCAACTATTTTCATAAAAAATAAAATTCTTCGGAGGAATTCAATTATTATTTTAAATACAAGTTTAACAAAATTCCTCTAAAGAATTTAATAATATTTAATATTTTAATAACATTTTTCGGAGCAATCAATTATTTTCAATACAATTTTAATCAAATTCAATTATTTATTAAAATTTTTAATAAAATCCTTCGAAAAAATCAATTATTTTCAATTATTTTCAAAAATTTTAATAAAATTTTTCAAAAGAATCCAATTGTTATAAAAAATTTTAATAAAATTCTTGACAAGAGTTAAATTTTTTTCAATGAATATTTATTTAAATTTGTCGAAAAAATTTAATTGTTTCTCAAAAATTAAAACTGCAATCCTTCCAAAATTGAACTATTTTCAAGAATGTTTGGACAATAATTTAATTTTTAAAAAGAATATTTGAAAAATAATAAAAAATAATCAAATTTTGAAAAATTCTAATTATAAATGTGAAAATATACAGTTATTCCAAAAATTTCCTGACAAGTCAAATAAAGCACATTTTTTCATTTTAATTTACTTGTAGATAATTATAATGTTATTTTTCGAAAACAATTGAATTTCTTTTAAAAAAATGTGGATATTTTAAAAAACTAATCAATTTTTTTAAGAATTGTATTTAAGATTTTTGAAAATAATTCGTTTTTTCCAAATTTTAATAAAATTTCTTCAAAGAATTCAATTATTTTCTATACAATTTTAATATTGAATTTCTAGAAAAATTTAATTTATTTAAACAATTTGAATAAAATTCTTCGAAAGAATTCAAATTTTAATAATTTCTATAAGAAATTAGATTCCTCAAACAATTTTGGTCTAATTTTTTTCTAGATTTTTTATTTTTATTTTAAATTAAAATTGCCAAGAATTCAATTATTTTTAAAATTTACAATGAAAATTTTTAAAAATTTAATTTTCAAAAATTGTAATGGAATATTTTAAAAAATCAACCATTTTCCATAAAATTTTACAAACTTTCAATTATTTAAGAACTTTTTAATTAAATATTTCGAAAATTTAATTATCTTAGAAAAATTATTCAAAAGTAAATTTTGAAATATTTGTCTAGTTTTTTTGTACTAGAAAAATTAAAGTAATTTGCATTTTATACCAACAAATTGGTATTTTGTTGCAATATTTGAAAGAAAAGTGAAAAACGTCGCATTTTTTGAAAATAAGTCGAAAAAAGTCAAAATATCCGAGACCTATTTTTATTCCACTTGTTTAAAGAAAGAAAATTAAAAAATTAACTCTGTTAAAATAAATTCAATCGAAACGAAAAAAACAAATCAAATTAAAAAAATAAACTAATTTTTCTTCATATTTTCATTATTTCAAAACTATTCTTCTTTCGTTGTCTATTTTTTTTATTTACATTTTTGTTTCACATTTCAAAGAAAGGTATTTTTTTATCAAAAGAATTTCAATCGACAGTCGAACAAAAAACCTCGTTTCTTTTATTTCTAAACGATTACGTTGAACACGAACGATTGCATGAACTTATGTGAAAGTAGATTTTGTATAGTTCAAAGACTAAATTTGAAAACAAAATTAAATTTCCAAAGCTAATATTCCAGGATAAAATATTAAATTGAAAAAAGAAATAAAATATTTATATAAAAACAAAAAAAAACTTACCTATACGTTTGTGTGTGATTTAGTGGCCTTTTCTCGTCTCCATTCATGTGCGATACAGTGTGATTTGTTGCTTGAATTGATTGTACGGGTTGCATCGTCGCAATTGATTGTGTTTGATTCAATATCGTGCTCTCCAAGTGACTGTAAATAAAAACACAGTGATTCATGCACACATGCAAATAGTAGTCTTTTTATCACGATAATTAAGTGACTGTAAAAAATGTATAGAAAATATTTTTTTTCGGTGCATCACAGTGAATTTTTATTTATTTTTTTACTTACGCAGGTGGCGTGATGGAATTTTGATGAACGTTTGTTATCATTGGCCTCCTTCCATCGGCTCCATTTTCAGAGGTACTTCTTTCTAGTCTTCGTTTCTCTAATTCATTGTGAAGAATCATCGCCTAAAAATGAAAATAAAACAAAGAGAATTAGAAATTATTTTCTGCACGCTGGATTTTATTTTGCAATTTTCTTTTGTGTGACATTCGCATAAACAAGTCTCGAAAACCAAAGATAATGGTGATGTCATTGTGATGATAGATTGAAATTCTAGGTCAAGGCCATTTTGTAAAGTTTGAAAGCCGGCCAGTGACAGTTAAACGTTCACTTTCAATATCGTTACTGATTGTGACTTCGCTTAGTCAGCATTTAAGTGTAGCTTTAATTGAAGCTTTATTGCTTTTCGTCACTTTTTAACTTTTCTTTATTTCTCAAAGTAAATATTTTAATTACTATTCTAATCATTATTCTAATTATTATTTAGATTATTTTTACTATTTTCATTATTTCAATTATTAATTTAATTTTTCTATTTCACTTTAATGTCTATCAGACTATCGGCATATTTAATTTCAAAGACACGAGAATAAGACATTACCTTGCCCAATTCGTCTTCTAGAGAAGCATTTTCCCCAGGCGATATTGTACTGGGAGTTGAATTTCCACTGCAGATTCCATTGACAGTTGCCTCGTGTGGAAGAGTTATAGAAAGAGGAGAACATTCTTGTCGCCACGTTCCCCGATTCTCGACATCAACCTGCAGATTATTTTGCCCGAATGGAAGAAACGAAATGTTAACGAAACAATAAATAAATATCCAAACTGGATTTGGAGACAAGGATAAATTAGGATTTTTTTCTACATAATAGTAAACAATAATAAATTTATTTACAGAACATTGTAAACGAAACTTTAGAAAAAATAATTCAAAGAATCATCGACAATAGTCCCTAGAATATGTGGTTCATGACGAAACGAATGAAAAATAAAAGAAATACTGTTAGGATGAAATAACTAACCGCACTATGAATTTCTTGCGACCAGCGCTTATCAAGACCATCACTTGTACTGTAACCACTGTCAACATTGTGTCGTCTATGTGACCTTGTGTCTAAAGTTGCATGACCCCGTGATTCAAGTGGTCCTTTTCTTAATCTACCGCCTCTTGCTCTCTCGTGTTTCTCCGCCTGTCTCTCCAGGTACTTAAAGATATGTATTCGCCCGCGAATGCACAACTGAAAATATTTTTCCAAAAATTAGAACCATAAATAATTAAATCAATCATTTTCGAATTTATTATTATAAAATAATTTCGATATTATATTTGATTTCAAAGTAATTCTTACCGAGGCAGGTGGTGAAGTTAAAGGGTTGTCTGATAAATTCAGCTCCACGAGACATTTCATCTTCCGCACCTCGTTCGGAAGCACAGATATCCGGTTGCAACTAATGTCTAGCTTCACCAGTTTCAGGTACGTGAGTTCTGAACAAAATTTATTTATTCTTTTATCAATTTTCTGAACTATTAAACAATTTTTTTTTCTAAACAATTTTGATTATTTTTTCCAATAGTTCTCTATTTTTTCAATCTTTATCAATTTTTCATTTCGATAATTGAAAATTAAATTTAGAAACTTAGGTCTCGGATCGACTTTAAAGCGCAAAAAAAGTCCCTTTAGTCGATTAAAAATACAAGAAACGTCGAAAAAGTTTTCTATTTAATTCGGAGTTGTCACAAGAAATTTTATTTTTTATTTCTTTGACCTTTCACTGACTTCTAAATTCAATTATTCAAAACCTGAATAATTTTGTTAAATAAATATTTAAATATTTGTTTCTCCACGGAAAATAAAATTTCAATTTAAAACCTTCTGAAATTTAATAATTTCTCAAAATCACAACTATAACCCTTCCAAAATTCAATTATTTTCTACAATTTTTAACTAAACTTCATCTATAAATCGATTATTTTCAATAATTTATTAATTTTCCGAAAGTTCTTCGAGAATTCAATTACTTGACTACAAAAATTCAATTTTTTATAATTCGTAACTGTAACTGTCCTTGATTTTTTAAGTTAATAATATTTTTAAATTAAATTAAATTAAAAAATAATAATAAAGAAATTCTTAAAATTAATTCCTTAAAAATATTTTAAAATAATCTTTGGAAAATTTCCAAACAACTGAAAATTGGTAAAATCTTTTAAAAATAAATGAATTTTTGAAAAATTAAAAAAAAAATCAGATTTTTGAAGAATTTTTATTATAAATATGAACATGATTTCTCCGAAATTTTAATAAGTCTAGAAAAGTAAATTTTTAATAATTTTAATTCACTTTGTTCAAAGATAATTGAATCATAAAAAAATATTATATTAACAATTCTAAGAAATAGTTTTTAAAAATATTGTAATGTAATGTTTCCAATAATTTAATTTCTCAAACGAATTTTTGTATAATTTATAAAAAAAACTATTTTTTGAAGATTATTAATTAAAAATTTTGATTTTTGAAAATGATTGTTTTGTCCAAAATATTAAAAATAATTCTAAAAAAATTTAAGCTTATTTTTTGCATGTATTTTAATTTTTAGAAATATGTAATTAAAAATATTGAAAAAATTGAATTTTAAAAAATTAGAATGAGAAAATTCTAATTATGTACTTTTTTCGAAAATATTTCAATACAAAAATACAATTATTTTCAATTAAATTTTACAAAATTTCAATTATTTAAAATGTTTTTAATTATAGGTATATTTTAAAAATTTAATTATCTTTTAAAAATTATTTTTGTATAATTTTTGAAAGATTTGTCTGTAGTTTTGTTTTCAAAATATAAAAATCGAAATAAGTTGCATTTTATGCTGAAAATGTGGTATTTTTGTTGCATTATTTGGAAGAAAAGTTGGAAATGTCGCGATTTTTGAAAATAAATCGAAAAAAGTCGCATTCTTTGAAAATAGCAGATATTTCATTTTATGAAATTTATTTTTAGGATTTTTAGGAAATTTTAAAAATTAGGAATCTAAACGTGGGAAAATAGGAAGAAAACCGCCGAAAATAGTCGAAAAAAGTCATAATATCCGAGGCTTGGAAAAAAAGTATTTTCTTTGGAAGAGATAAAATTTACCTATAGGCAACTGCACCAGAAGATTGCTCCTGAGGTCCAGATACCTAAGTCGAGAAAGATCTCCTATTCGAGAAGGCAGTGTCGTGATCTCATTACATCCAGCATCCAATTCAGCCAAGCCTTGCATCCTGCCCAATTCCTCGGGCAGGGAAATCAATCGGTTATGAGCTACCAATAAAATTTGCAATGGTAATCTGCAAATTTCCCTAGGTAGTGTCGTTAGTTGATTACGGCTGAAAAAAACATTCATTTATTTATTTATTTTTTTAATTTATTATTTATTAAATATCTACATTATTTATTAAATTTAAAGGTCCCTGGAAGTTGCCGTCGACACTCAACATCAAAAACTACTTTTTAAATTTTTTTGTCATCTAAAACATCTTACATTATTAATTTTACTGTTTTTATTTACCTGGAATTCTAAAACTTTTCATTTAAGGGTTTCAATTCAGAATTTTTGAAAAAATAAATTAATAACTTTTTTGGTTTTGAGAAAATAAAATTAGTTTCGACTCTCAGTGTTGGCGCCAACTTCAGAGATCTAAATTAAAAAAAAAATAATAATAATTTCTTGTTATACACTTTCTAAGTCATTAACTGAATTAAAATTATTCATGGTTAATAAATAATGGTTACTTTATAATTATGCTCAATTATGTAAATTTTTATAGCCATTCGATGACACATTAGTTAATGAATTATAATAATTTACCTGAGGTCGAGGTAGTTCAATGACTGGAGTTTCACAACAGTCTCTGGTATTATTCTTATGGCATTGTGATAAAGGTGTAGCTTCTCAAGAAAAGGGAAATCCGTGACTTCCTCCGGTATATCCAAAAACCGATTTTTTGAGAGATCTGCAACAATAAAAATTCTTCACATTAGCGAAATAGAATTAAATTCTTATGCTTTTTTTATTTTTCTTATAAGTCATGTAAATTTAAAAAAAAACTTTTAATAAAAATGTGACGCATTACGAAGATAAAATTTCCAAAAAAGTCGTAAAAAGTCGCATGGAATTTTAGAAAAAAAACGACAAAAAGGAAACACAAAGTTGTAAAAATTGTAAAAAAAAATCACATTTCTCGACAACAGATACATTAATATCAAACAATTCGAAATAAAATTTTTAAAAATTTAATAAAATTCATAGCAAAATTTTAATTAGGTATTTTTAACATTTGTTTAAAAATTCTCTTTAAAATGTCAATTATTTTTATAAATAATAAAATTCTTCTTCGAAATTCAATTATTTAACAAAAATTTTAATACAATTCTTGTCAAAATTTCAATTATCTTTATAAATAATAAAATTCATCCTAGAAATTCAATTATTTTCAAAAGTAATAAAACTCTTCGCAGAAATTCAATTAAATTCAAAACATTTTTTTCAATTTTTCGTCAAAATTTTATAAGTAATAAAATTCATCATAAAAATTTAATTATTTTCAAAAGTTCTGATAAAATTTTTTGCAAAATTCAATTATCTTCAAAAGTAAAAAAATTCTTTACAGAAATTCAATTATTTTCAAATTTTTTTTTTAAATTCTCAAAATTTCAATTATGTTTACAAATTTCAAAATTCTTCTGCAAAATTCAATTACTTTTAAATATTTCTAGAAAAAATCTGTTCAAAATTTCAATTATCTTTGTGAATAATGAAATTCTTCCCTGAAATTCAATTATTTGCAAAGAATTTTAATAAAATTCTTCTCTGAAATTCAATTATTTTCAAAAGTAATAAAATTCTTCGCAGAAATTCAATTATTTTCAAAATTTGTTTTTAATTTCTCCATAAAATTTGTATTATCTTCATAAAGAATAAAATTCATCCTGGAAATTTAATTATTTTCAAAAGTTCTGATACAATTTTTTGCAAAATTCAATTATCTTCAAAAGTAAGAAAATTCTTCACAGAAATTCAATTATTTTCAAAAATTTTTTTTAAACGAAGTTGAAGTCCACAACGTTTATCAACGAAAAAAATTTATTTAATACTTTCAAGTATTATTTTTAATTTAATATTTAATTGTAAAATAATTATTATCAAAATATAAACATCAATCTTTTCGTTCTAAATATTTTTGTGTCAATATTTCTGCGCATTTTTAATTAATTTACTAAGTTGACAATTTTTTTCGTTGATCAATGTTGTGGATTTCAACTTGGTTTTTTAAATTCTCTTCAAAATTTCAATTATCTTTGTAAATATCAACATTCTTCTTCAAAATTCAATTACTTACTAATGTTTTATAAATTTCTTCCCAATAATTCAATTATTTTCATAAAAAATGATAAAAATTTTTTTTTTATTAAGTCTTATAATAAAAAATAATGATTTTATCACTCGGTCATCTTTAATTATTATAAAAACATGAAGACATCGATTGCTCCGAGGCGAAGACTCGGAGTCATCGATTTCTTCATGTTTTATAACAATTTTTTATAAGTTGTTTAATTTCAAAAAGATTTGAATTCGAATCTTTTGAAGAATTTTAATTTCTATGGAAAAACAATAATTAAATATTTATTTATAAAACAAGTTATTGATGTTTTCGAAAAATTTGTAAAGAAATGTAACAGAACATTTTTTTGACTCAAACTATTTCCTTTAAATTTAAAAAATATTTTTAAATTTCATTCGCATTTTATTAAAAAAAAAATCTCGAAAATGTCGATTAGTCGCATTTTTTCACAAAAAAGTCACATTTCCTTAGAAAAGTCGAAAAAAAAGTCGAAAAAGTCGCACAATCCGAGCCCTGCAAAATTTGTTTGTTGATTTTTGACAACTATAGGAAGAATATCAGCGAGTGAGTGGAAGAGATGAAATTTAAGCTCGAGGGTAAAGTACACTTCCTTCGAGTATCGAAAGGGAGAAAGAGTGGATCTTCTGTTTACTAGGCAATTGGTAATTTCCGTTCGATAAGGGCGTTTTCTCGAGAACAGGATCCTGAGGTGGATCGGATGTACTTTGCAGGAAATTTGACAAGAAAAAGAACTTTTTCTGTGGGTCGTCTTCGTCGTAGTTTTCGTTAAAAGTTTTTTTTTTTTTTTTTTTTGAGCTTTGATGATTAGGATATATAAGATCCTCGATTTTTCGCAGTCGAGGAGGACGTTAGGATGGGGCCTTCGTTATTGATCAGGGTGTTCGAAGCCGGGAGCACCACCCCTGTATTCCAGAATGTTGGGACTGCATACACGTGGCCAACTCTCTCACCCCCCCCCCAAATTCAGCACCAACAACCCCTCCAGCGAGTAACTTTGCGAAACACCCTAATCGCTCCTACAGCTGTTGCTATGGGCGAAATATCGGATTCTTTACCCAGCTAGAGGGACAGGTTCCTTATTTTACACCCTTTTAACGAATTTCACAATTCGTCCTGAATATACACTTTTTCCCCTCTTGAGAATTGTTGGAATTCTGATTGTTCAATTGTTTTATTTGAAAATTTGGAATTTTTTTATATATCACGATTTTTGGCTAATGATCATTGCATTCTTTGTAATGATTTGTTTCTCTTTTCTAATTTTATTGGTAGAAAAGAATTGGGTTTTTGGAAAATTAGACTTTCTTTCGAAATTATCATTTTTGTTCTAACGATTTTCTGATTACTTCGTTAATTATTATGAGTGACGATTGTTTCTCTTGGTTTGAATTAGTGGAAATAATTTAGTACCTAGAATTAAGGTGCTACTAATTGAAGCAGTAAAGTTCTGTTTGTTAGGCAATTATTGGTGTTTTAATTTCAGTTTTTTATTTTTTTATTGTTCGGTATGTAAATAACTGAAATATTGAAGGCCAAAGCAGAATAGAAACGTAACCGAAGTTGTAATGGTAATCCCTTCCTTAGGAAAGACATTTCCAAAAATGAAATAATATTGCTTCTATACTTCCGTAATTAAATGAAAAAAGAAAAATGGACATAGCGTTGTGTGCGGTAAATTTATCACCTTCTGTTGCGTATTTAATTAATATCCGATAAATGTTACGAGTCAATGACCCGTTAAAGTTGGAAGAAGAGACGAGTAGAAAAGCGATGATGAATTTCTCATTATTATATACATCTAGGATATGAGGCAGTGGCAGAAGCGAAGAGAGGTCGGTAATCTATTGTTTACCGTGAATTTACGTTGAACGATAAAAGGCTGTTTTGCTACCCATGGTTGCAAGTTATAAATATAAGTGCAATGCACAACTTCCGCAACGGTGGCTTGCGAGTTGCTTTGATATACAACCGATAATCATCAGTTCCGAGTGAGCCCCAGACTAGACAGGAGACCTTTTCAGAAAGCTACTGCCTTCATATATAAAGGGTCGATGGCCCAGGAGTCGTGGGGGTCGACGTCAAGAACCAAGGTCGAGGTCCTATAAAGGATCGATACGACGATATGCCCCCAACGAGAGAGAGCATATTTTCGTTTTGTTGTTACGCATACGCAACACGCATTTTCATTTTCTCCTACTGCTCTTCAATCTCTCTTGTACCTAATAAAATATTTATTTTTTATATTTATTATTTATTATTCCACTGTTAACTCAAAAGTATCAAATTGCAACGAATTGTAACAAAAAATGTGGATAAAATCTAAAATTGGTACCAATTTGATACTTTCAATGAAACACTTGTTATAGAAATACCATAGGCTTCGCACTCATCTACTAAAAACTATTTACTATTTTTTTTTACGTTATACTATTTGAATACTTTTTTTTTAGATTTCAGCCACTAACAGCAACTATTTATGTTTTTTTTTAGAATTTCCACTACTTTAAATTCGCTAATACTAGAAATCAAAAAACTATTCTAAAAAATTATAATCAAATTCTTTAAAACGATTCAATTATTTTCGAAAGATATTCGAAATTCAATAATTCTCAATATCTAGTATTTTCATAAAATCTCGCAAAAGAATTCAATTATTTGAAAAAAATGATAAAATTCATTAAATATTAAATTATTTTCATAAATAATAAAATTTCCATAGGAATTCAATTAATTTAGAATATCGTTTTCAAAAAAATTTCAAAATTATTAATTAAATTAATTATTATTATTATTATTTTATTATTATTATTATTATTATTATTATTATTATTATTATTATTATTATTATTATTAATTAAATTATTAATTATTAATTATTATTAATTATTTATTTATTTATTTATTATTAATTTCAAAATTATTTAACAAAATTTTCATACAATAATTGTATGAAAATTTGGTTAAATAATTGATTATTTTGAAATTTTAATCATTTATGAAAGTATAATTGAATTATTGTGAAGAATTATTCTTCACAATAATTCAATTACTTTTATAAATAATAGGAACATTCTAAGCAAGAATTCAATTATTTTCATAAATAATAAAACTTATCGAAGATTTTCAATTATTTTTAATACTATTTTAAATTAATTAGTAGAAAAATTCAATTATTTTCAAAAATAACAAAAATTTTCCCAGAAATTCAATTATTTTTAAACATTTTAATAAAATTCTTCTCAGAAATTCAATTATTTTAATAAAATTGTTCGAAAGAAATCAAATATTTTAAATACGAATTTAAATAAATTTTTTTGAAATAATTCAATTATTCTTTTACATTTTAATAAAATTCTTTTCTAAGAATTCAATTATGTCGACAAATAACAAAATTATTTCCGAAAATTCAATTATTTTGAGGCATTTTAATAAAATTCATTTCAAAATTCAATTATTTTTAAAACTAAAAATATTCATTACAATAATTCAATTATTTTTAAAAATAACAAAATTTTTCAAAGAAATTCAATTCATTAAACATTTTTAAAAAATTCTTCATAAGAATTCAATTTATTATTTTCATAAATAGT